AAGGTTAGATGTATTGTGTATTACAGTCATTCTGATGCTTATAGACAAGGAAATCCAAGGAAAATGCTTATTAAAAAAAAAAAAAAAAAAAAAATAAATAGATAAAAAGGGATCTGTACAGCTGATATTAAAATAAATTCACTTTGGCCTTGCACAGCAGCTTCTGTTCATATAAAATGTAATGGAAAAGCTAATTGACTTTCTGTCATTTCTGTTTCAATAAACTGAACTCAGTGATGCCGCCCTCTAGAATCCGTGACAGCTGATCTATTTCCAAAATAAACCAAGGAACTAAATTTATTTGCAAACAAAGATTACCTCATTCTGGAAGCCATGCTAAGCCTTTTTTCCCCCTCAACAACTGGTATGAGGAAAACTGTTTAAAAAATACTTTCAAACAGTTAGAGATCAAAAGGGAGACTGTATTTCACAGCTATATTTCAGTGGAGAAAAATTAATCATAGTTAGTTTCAAATGTTTTAAAAATAAATTAGAAGCTCTGAAGAAAAACAGTATACTGTTAAATAAGACATAGTAATTATTAATACTATTATAATATTCCAAGAAGAAAATGATATTAAAATAAAAATCTGAAACTTTTCTTTCATCAGCCACATAAGCATCTGAAAGCACATTCGAATAATTAGTGGATGCACGCTTCACAAGTCTCCTCTAAAAATAAAAGGATGCCAGTCACCATTTCTTGGACAATACAGAAGAAAAGGTGCTACAGAGTACTGTCAGAGCACTGTGGGATCCTGTGTCAGAAGTGTAGGGGGGCTCCCTGGGCAGGTGATGGCAGGGCCTGGCTGCCAGGCCAGCCAGGCAACACTGGGACAGCCCCAGTCCCAGGCATCGGGCACCTCCCTGGGGATAGGGATGAGGCGGGGTGGGCTCGGACTGGTGTGGCCACGGCCAGGCACGGCCTAGACATGGTGGGAGCTGTAGCTCAGGTTGGGGCTACATGGCAGAGGCACAGCCTAAAAGCAGCTCCCATGGGCAGGGGTTGGCCCCGCTGTGGCTCCCCTGTCATCCCAAGGAAGGAAGGAAGGAAGCAGAGAGCCTGCAGCTGCTCTGTCCCCGAGCCAGCCCTGAGCCCCGGGAGCTGACCGTCTGGGAGGGGGGATGAGCTCAAGGCCCCAACATGGATGGGAAATCCCTGTAAAGGTTTGAGGAAGAAATCCCAGTATCTACTAAGATGAGACACTTTTGCTATGTAGAGATGTGTCAGTGTTGAGCAATACTGGGTTGGATAGGAATCTAGGTACATGTTTCCAAAAAAGCAAGAGAGCAATGTGAAAATAAAGATTTTCGTTAGACAATAGGTTTCTGTCTGCGTGAGATTTTAATTGGCTGACATAACTGTAAAAGCCTCGACTGTAGGATGAGTGTGTGTTCATAACTAAAATCAGGCACGTTCAGTGAACCAGCAAATAATACACAGCCACTAGCATGGCTATTAACCATCTGCGCAGATCTTTTAGCGTAATAAAGTTGAACACGGAAATTTAACAGATGGGGTTATTACTCAGAAGCACATTTTATGTTGCATTAAACATGTAAACCACATTTCAAATTAAACTGAAGCATTTGCTTACAGCCAAAATGCCTTATTTTTGTTTACAGGTAATCTCCACTAACCTGAGTTTCATTCTGAAAGGGACATATACATGATATTCAGTAAATAGAATAATAATGTATCTATTATTATTAAAGCAGATTTCACTTTCTACTATCTCATTAGTATTTTAGTTTGAATGTAATACACTGGCAATTGCTCTCTTTACTCCTTTATTAATATTTTAAAACTATATAATCTTGTTTTCCTCAGAGATACCAGAAGCAGCAAAATGGAACAAACCCCATCACTGGGCTGTTCTGTTACTGTATTTATGGTACAAGCCAATGTATTATGGAAACTTTTTGAGAAAAAAGAAGAGCAGCAGTTGGTTTTTAAATGTTCAGTAACACAGTGCTTCCATTCTTATAGTATCCCCCAATAGGTTGTTATCTGCATACCTTATTCCTGCGGAATCTCTTCCGTACATAAAACTTACAGTGTTTATCTTTATGAGTATTAATTTTTAAAAAGCCCTGTTCTGTCCATTCTCTGAACACTTCCGCTCTGTTCAAATGCCTTTCTCTGCTTTTAATTCCTGGATGTTCTACCTACAGCTGATCATCCTCAGGTAAAAAAATGGGTTTGAGTTTCCATTTGTTTATTTGGAGGAAAAAATTGCACAGTGCTGAGCTGACATAGTGGGAAAAAGAATGTACCTGGAGCAGAACTGAAGGAAAATAGAGGAGAGACAACTTCCATTTTCTCAGGGGTTGTATTTCTCCTGCCTTTCCCATCACCTGCTGAAAATGCAATTCATTTCACTGTCCCACAGTCTTATTACCTCGGTGTTATTTTTATCTGCATCACTGTTCCTTATTATTTGTCTTACTATAATGCCTGGATACCTCAGGCAAGATCAAGACTCTACAAATGTGGCCTGAATCTGCCAGTAAAATACTGCAAATGCTAGTGAAAGAGGCAGGAATAAGAACAGAGAAAGCAAACATTATTGTTTCAGGTTTTTTGTAGAGAACAAGACAGAGAGAGGCTAAGGAAGATGTGCCTGCATCTGGGAGTCTAGTGCCGGTTCGAACGCCCCACTGTTCCCAAAAGAGGTGGCAGATGTGACAGCCACAGCCCTCCAGAGGCAGCTGGACACCCGGCTGGGAGTACCACTAGCCAGCTGCCTGTGTTTCGGTGACCGATGCCTATGTTCGGCCCACCTGAGGTCACTTGCTCAAGGTTGTTCAAGAAGTGCATAGCAAAACTGTGCTTGAACACAAATCCCTTGAGCTCCACTTCACTGTCTTAATCACAAATTAATTCTTCATGTTTTCAGCTTCTCTTTTTTCCTTTCTCCCAACCACCTACACTACTGCTGTTACGAAGCAGAATATCCTTTCCTGCTTTAAATTTTTCTTCTTTCTGTTTCGATCTTTGTTTTTGGCTCCCGTCCCCCTCTCTCGCTCAGCAGAAGGCTGAACGCTACTTGGGTTGGAGGCTGTGTTACATAATGCTCTCCACCCCTTCTGCTCTTTTGTTGGCACCTCCTCCCGCCCCCAGCACGCTGAACAACTCTCATGGACTCTGAAACGCCGGGATTGAGAGCCTTTGCAATTTTATTTTAGCGAGTGTGCCAGTAGATGTGCAAACAGGTGATGTATTAACAAACTCATGTCTGTGGAATACCCACTTGCAATCAGCTCTCCGAATTAATTACATATATGTGAAAGAAACATTCTTCCAATTCATATTAGATGTGCTCCCTTTTAAGAGTCATGATATACATTTATTTTGGTCAAGATTAAGTAGAAAGGATTGACCTTCTTAACACACTCTATTATTCCCTATAGTCATATCTTTCTTTCTTTTCCTGTCATTAAGAAGTCATTCCATTTCTGTGTTGACATTTTTATCTCCTCTTTATGTCCTTACCAAAAGCAGTTATTTATTGAATTTTTGCTGACAAACAAAAGGATGAGAAAGAAAAATGGCATAAACCCCCACATGCAGCAAATGGCAAGGGCATGCTGTATTCCTCTGATGCAGATGAGTAACTTCTTAGCATTCATTTCTCACTTCACTAGTTTAGTTCCACTGCCTTTTCCTTCTGGTTCTGCTTTAGTTCCCTTCTACCTAGTATATTGGACTCATCTGTTTGTTCTGACATTTCCTGTTTTTTCATTGTTTGCGGTTGTCCCTTCTTTCCTTAGAATTAATCTATTTGATTAATCCTGTCTCAAATTCTGTTTAGCCTCCCTGGCAACCCCTTCAGGTATTACTTTGCTGTGAAAAAAAATATATGCGGAATTTCTTAATTCCACCGTATCTGTAGTTCATCAAAACGTCACTGTCAATATGACATTTTTTGTTTCACATTACCAGATCTGGATGAATCCACGTTACTTACCTACTTAACAACCACCTTGTGAACAAAAGTAATTTTAGGGTTGGACCCTCATCCTAACACCAAGCTAAATGACCAGCACTGGCTTAGCTAATGCAGAACAAAGACTTTTATGAGAAAGGGCACTAGTGGATGAAGAGAAAAGGCGTAGTGATACCTCTTATTCCACTATAGGAAGACAACCTCCAAATATGCACTTTTTTAGAGTAATGCTGGAAACAGCGGTGGTGTTCTTTGTCCTTAACATACCTACCACATGGCCTCTGTAATGGATGCAGACTGCAGGAGGACCAAAAGAACTGTAACTGCACCTGCCCCAGTTAGTTTGAATGTCACCCTCCTGCAATCTGGGGCTGCTGCTTTTCTGCAGAGAGCAGATTGCCTGAGCTGGTCTCCAGCCAGGCCGAAAGGTCGGACCAGGTGTTCAGTGTATACTCAGCGAGCCTCTCCAGGCAGCTTGACAGCCGCCTGACCAGGGGCCGAGGAGTCCTAGTTTGGTTCTGTGTGCTTCTTCGGCCTTCTAATAAAATGTCCCCACCAGGAAAGCCACTACTATCAAAACACGGCTGGTGAAGGCATTGGCCGAGCTCATCCAGGTACACCCTCATCTTGAGACTGACTACATATGAGGCAGCCAATGAAGACGACGGGTGATTTCATCACACTTTGAATCTAAATGTGGCTATGGAAGAGCATATGGCCTCACAATTGTTTTTTGGTGGTTTGTTTTTTTTTTTTTCTTTCTCCTTCCCTGTGCAGACAGTTGCTGTCGTTTTCACGAGATGAAATGTGCACTGGTGTTATACTTGATGCTGAAATTCACACATACTTTCCTTTAGCAGCCCCAGCCAAACTTTAAAGAATTTCTTACCACTGTGGGTTGTATATTTTTTTTTTTTAGAAGTTATTTGATCATGATGCTCTTAGCAGATTTAATTTTGAAAATGAGGTGATGTAATGGATTCAGGAAAAAAAAAAAAAAAAAAAAAGCCAGCCACAGAGAAGTCTAGGAGGACTGCTGTTTTGTACCCAAAGAACAACTGTTGACTATGCATTCCGTTGAGCTTTTACAAGTGCAATCTCCTGTGATGAAAAACCCAATAAAGTAAGAAGATCTGCAAGTGTCCCTTAAAGGGTTGGGTCCTGCACTGGGGTGCCAGGGCTGAGGAGCCCTGTGTGGGCTGGGGTGCCGCGACCAGCAGCGGGATCTGGGTCTGTGTAGGGGCCGGAGAGAGGAAAACAACCCGCCACTACTCATGGC